CATGTAACACTTGTGGGTGTTGACATTGAGCTTACACCTAACGTACTCCAGTGTACATGCGGCGTTGAAATCCGTGGTGTATATGCTGATTTACCCAGTGACACTCCTGAGTATGCCGACTTTGGTGTGTTGTAAACATCGCCTCTGTCCCAAATATCTTTGGTTCCAGGAACATGGAAATCATAAGCTTTGGCCTTGTATTCCTCGTATCCACCCATAGCTCCTTTCACATTACTTGCTTTTGTGGTGAGGTTTACGTCAACTTTACCCATCAACTCATCTAAGCTGTCGTCGGCAGTCTTTTGTCTCAAGTCTACACCAGAATTAGTAACTAAGGAGGGCCTACTTACATTAAATGAGCTTGGCGTAGACTTTAACTTTTCTAACGTTTCTCTTAATTGTCGTCGTCTAACGTCAATTTCTTCAAGATCTGCCCACAGTTCTGATTCTTGTTCGTTCTTCATGTTTAATATCTATATACCAAGTAACCAAACAAAAATACTTGGTACTCAACTATATTAAATCTTACTGCGGTGCACGTACCTAACACAGTGCACACAGAACTCTGTACCTGGTATCTGAACCAAGTAACTGATCTGCGTTCACGAGAACCCGGTGACAGAACACAGTTCACACCGTTAAATAAACTTAAACACGGATTCTAACAATTAAATGTACCTTGTATCCCACCGCTGCCACCAAAATGTAACGTGTAACCTAAGGGTCCGTTTTCAAGGGATACGGGGTATTAATATTATCGAAATGCATATAAATAAACGTTTCCTCTGGCTCTATCTGAACCTATAATTAATACGGGGAATCAATATTATATATACAACAATGATTTTTAGCTCTACTGGTCAGAGACCAGAAGAGCTTATGCAATAGTAAGGTGTCTGTCGTCCGTCCGTCTGTCTGTCTGTCTGTCTGTAAACAATTTTTCAAAATGCTACTCCTCCTACAGTTTTGATCCGATTTCAATGTAACTTGGAACACAAGTAGACTACACTAAGACACATAATTCTGTGCATCGGTTTTTGATTTTGAAGAATGGTGTTGCCGTGGTTACTAAAAATAGCATTTTCTGTGAAATTCCTTTAAAACACTACTCCTTCTACAGTTTTGGTCTGATTTCAATTTAACTTGGCACACAAGTAGACTACACTAAGATACATTAAATAGTGCATCGGTTTTGGATTTTGATGAATGATGTTGCCATTAGTACTAAAAATAGAAATGTCCGTGAAATTCCTTTAAAACATCACTCCTTCTACAGTTTTGGTCTGATTGCAATGGCTTCTTTTCTTATCCTTTGTTATAAGTACTAACCAGTAGAGCTACAGTCTCGACAGAGACTTCTGGTTTTATTATTTTTATGGGATCCTTGTCCTTTTTTATATAAACAGCGGGATACAAAAGCCGAGTTTCTCTGTTACCAAGTACTATCTGTATGACTGGGCACCCTGCACCTGGTTCCGAAACAAAGTTCTTATTGTAATGAGTACTCGGTACCTCACCCTTATTCAGGATTACTATACCTTGCGCTTCACCACAATTTCTTGGCTTACCATTTACCGGCGCTCTGTACCCTAGCCGTAATTTTATTTCACTATTTTAATTCTTCTGTTCTAATATTACCTATTATCTTCTTCTCAACTTCACACTTCTTCTACGGGTTTCAGAATGATCGAGACTGCCTCTGCAGCCTTTTATATAGCCAAGGGCTATACCATTCAAACAGGGGTGAACAGGCTCCTGGACTGTTCCATTATTCCAGGTCACACCAACGTTTGAATGGCATAGGCCTTTTTCATTACTCATTACACTAGTTTATGAATGATGACCAGGACACATGTATTTGTTTACATTGGCTTTAGTATTGTATTTAAGTATTTTTAGTTCACGCATGAGCACTTTAACTTTATGCATATTAGCTAGTCAGTGCATGCGCAGTCATTCTACATTATGTAAACATCCACAATATTTTTACTGTCTGCCACCACCCTCCCCTCCACTTTATTTGTATTACTACCATTTGTTGGGGCAGATGAACACCCCATATCACTGCTTTGTTTAGATCATACTGTAAAATGTATACTGTAGTCCTTTCAATGGCCAAAATTTTGTAGCATAATAATTTTACTAGTCAGACCATTTCTCAAGATACAAATGTGTGGTAGTTTTGTATATACATGTGTTTTTGATCTATTGTCATTTATTGAAGGAGTGTTGGATTTTTGTACCTGTCACAACACATCACATGTTGTAGATTTTTTGTGTATTGTTCTTTTGTGAATTTTTAATTTGCTATTATGCATTGGGAAGTTTTTATGATTTGTACTCCTTAATAATGACCATTTTTATTCTTCATTGTGGAGTTGATACTTATATGGAATTTGGGCATGCAGGCATAAAAACTATTATGGACTGTTAAGAAGGGAGAATCACAAATAATCAGGTCTGAGTAGGGTTGTCACCAGAGGGCATTTAAATTATCAGGTTTGAGTAGGGTTGTCACCAGAGGGCATTTAAATTATCAGGTTTGAGTAGGGTTGTCACCAGAGGGCGAAAGCGTCTTTAGGATACATCCCTAGTCTCCCTTCTATACAGTATAACTGTATGTTGTTAGGCCTTGATTTGTTTTAACTAAAGTACATGTATCAGATATACTATAAAGATTGATTGATTAATTGCATATTGTTTAATGTCCCTCTCGGGAATTTTTCACTCATATGGAGATGCCACCACTTGCCTGTGGAGAGCTGCAATTTTTGGTACTATAAAGAACTACGCACGCTAACTCTTGATTCCCGCCTACATTTTACAACCAATTTATGTAATATTAATGACAGTTTGGCCATAAAATCATTGTAATACAAAGAACAGTTCATTGGTAATTTATTTATTTTTTTTAATACCAGCTCTAAATAGTAAAATATCCCAAATTCCAGCCTTTGAAAGAAAGGTGTAGACGATATTATGCACTGAAATCGGGCCTAAAAGCATTACCATATTTTGAAATGGTCTTGGATATAAATATATTATCTTAAATCTTTTATGTTTTACGCATATAAAATGAAAGATAATTATTAGTAAAATAAGGTTTAGTTGTAAACTGTTTGGGAATTTGCTGAAAAAATAAACATATATGTCGTTCTTTTGGGGTTTCTTATAAGCATATCCCCCCGGTAAAACACAAAAAGCTTTGCTGTGAAGTTGTGCAATGACAATCCAAAAAACCTGTAAAAAGAAATTTGTGTAATACGGGGCGGGGGTGGTGTTCTAAGAATAATTCCCGTTTTCCGTTCATTTCTATGGTGAAAAACAAGTCATGAGAGTTTAACAAAATGTTTATAGTTATCTCTCGTAGTTTTCCAATGATTTATGTTTTATGAAAATCCATATAAATATCTATACACATGTAAATAGGATCATGAAAAATCTTTCAAATATATCAGCATTTGAAAAATCGAACTCGAGGTACACGGGAGAACAATACTATGGTTCGCAGTTCTTTTATTACAGAATATATTCCATCTAATAAACTGATCAATTCAAAGGGCTGAAGACGTGTTTCCTCCTCTGGAATGTTTGGGGTTCTGTATCTATTCCACAGGCACTTGTTTCTGTAATAAATTTTTGACTATGGTTCGCAGTTCTTTTATTACAGAATATATTCAATCTAATAAACTGATCAATTCAAAGGGCTGAAGACGTGTTTCCTCCTCTGGAATGTTTGGGGTTCTGTATCTATTCCCTGTTCACAGATTTGTTTTGTTCGTAGATTTTTTTTTCTAGATCTACACTGGGTGAAAAAACCAGTTTCCCATTGTGGGAAACCTTATGGAAACCATATGGAAACCTCAAGATTACATTGTTTCCTTGTGGTTTCCGCACGGGATACGGGGTTATTCCCCCTTGATTCCGTGCAACGGAAACACCCTACGCTCCGATTCCATTAGGTATTCCGAGGCTTGGAATCCAGTGGAATCGCGAGGTTTCCCTTGATTCCGTAAGTTTCTCGTATGGGAATCTTAAAGATTCCACTGGTTTCCGTGTCTCGGGATACCTAATGGAATGGGAGCGTACGGTGTTTCCGTGGATGGGAAACTAGTCGGGAATCTCAAGGATTCCATGTTTTGGAAACCACTTGGATACTATAAGGAAACCTGAAGATTCCACTGGTTTCCGTGCCACGGGATACCATATGGAATTGGAGAGTAGTAGTTTCCGTGGATGGGAAACTAGTCGGGAATCTTAAAGATTCCATGAATAGGAGACTGCTTGGATTCATATGGTAAACCTTGAGTTTCCATAGGTTGGAAACCTAAGGGATTGAAAGGTAGTAGTTTCCGTATCATGGAAACTTATCAGGAATCTTGGGGTTTCCCTTGATGGAATCTAAATGGATTTATTGGAATAATAATTTTTTTTCTTGATGAATTTTCTTTAAAATTCTCATACTGGAATTAGCTTATGAGAATCTTCAAGTTTTGGTGGGGTACATTTATTATTGAATATTGATGAATGAACCTTGAGGATATAGTAAACAGCAGAACAAATTTCAAATAAGATGACATTTGTATTTTCAGAAATTATATCAATAATACTATCTATTCAAATTCACAACAAAGAAGTTACTTGAGTATTATGAGAACAAAATAAATCTATGAAAAAGTATAACAAATTTTAAAGATATATCAAAGCATCAACATTGTATATGTACAACATAAAAAAAATCATGGCTTGCTTTTAGTTACTATTATAAAAAATACAATATCTTATACATTAAAACCAAATTAGTGACTATTGACATTCAGGGACTCAATTAAGTTACTACAGTATTATAAAAAAATAAATCTATGAAAAAGCATAACAATTTTTACAGATATGTCAAAACATCACACTGTCTCTGTATGTAAAACATAAATACAAACATGGCCAGGTGCTTTAGCTACTATTATATAAATATTTTATACATGAAAACCAAATTAGTGACTATTAATATTTAGAATCAAGGTATCATATCGACTATCAAAAGATCAATATAAATGAAAAACAGAAATTTACTTTCATAATCATATAATCAGATTCTTGGGGTATTGACAAAATATAACCTCTGAATTCTACTGTATTCTACTGTTTGAACAGCTTAAGAGCTGTTCATAATTGATTTAAAAATGTGTTTGTGAAACACTGATGCCCCGAAAAGACAGCTTATTGTGTGTGTTGTAGTTTCTCATTTGCAAGTCCAAGGTCAAGGTCAAAAATGTTGGTATCCAAAGAAAGGTTTTATCACTTTCGAAATATGAAAGCCCTAGTACTTGCTTTTCAAAAGTTCTGTCCAAGGTTAAAATATTTTAAAAGTGAATCCAACTCGAAGGTCAATGTCAAAAATATTTATACCTGTTGAAAGTCTTGTCAAATGGAATGCAAAAGTGAAAGCTTTAGCATCAACTATTTGAAAGTTGTGGCCAAGAATACAGTTTAAATTTTTTGTTAAAAGTGGTTGAAACTCAAAGATCCATGTAAGGAGGTCAACAGGTCTGGTCACTAAAACATTTGTGAAATGTGAAAGCAGTCGCCCCATCCACTCAAAAGCTTTAGGCCTAGTTTACACTTTTGCAGACAGACAGACCAACAGTGTAAAAACTATATACCCTGAACTGTTGATTACAGGTACATTAAAAAAACCATAACAACTGTCAATATTTACATCTGGAAATACACAACCACAGAATTAAAAAGTTCTTTTTCTTGTATCCTCTTGATAGCTGAAACCTCGTTTGACCTACAAGGAATAAAAAAATAGTTAAAATTTAGCTGAAGTAATATTTTGGTGTTTATAATACATCCCATTCATTGAATAAGCTGTCCTTCTAGGGAAGTTGAGAAGGAAATGTTCAGCCGAAAAGTTGTTCACTGAATCTTCTGAATATACAAATTACTTACAAAATTACATTCCCAAGAACCAACAAAATTTCACTAATCCACAAACATTGACCCCCATGAATTAAAATGATTGTACAGTAATTCTTATCTCCATCAAAAAACCAAGTTTTCTGGTCATAAGGATGTGAGTTATTATAAAAATATCTGATATGTTAAATTTCCAAAATCAGATTCTCTCAGATTCAAAGATAAGATGTGATCCACAAATTATTTAAGGATGTACAGGCATAATTTCCAAAAAGAGGTCACATTGTCTATTTTACCCTACTTTTGTTTGATGTTGCTCCTTTTCTTATAATGATAGTACACAACTGGTTAGACAAGGAGACCCTACACTGTCATCAAAAGAAGGCCATAGAATATGGTTCAATATAATCAGACTTCAGTATTTGCAAGCAAAAAATAACACATCCGTAATATTTTTTTTCAAATGGTATTGATCTTTTTTTTCACTTAAAAAGGGAAGTTAAATGAATTTATTAAAGTTTGACACAATACTAAGAAAGGTAAAAATAAATAAGTATCTGAGAAAATTAATTACCTCTATGAGGAGTAGTCCCTGGAAATGGCCCAAGCTGCACACTTCTCAGGAGGAGGTGTTGTTGTGTCCTCTCTACCATCCTTTACAAATACCAACTGGCGTCTGGCAGATTCGGTCTTCAGGACCTTGTGTCTATATGCCTTGTCCAGTGCCTCTTTTCCCTTGCACAGTCTGGTTGATCCCCAGGAAAATGGGAGCCTGACCCTCTTTGTTGAGTCTTCGTCATCAGTCTTCTCCGGTGAAATTATGTCCAACCAAAGGCACGCCGTCAAGTTCTTTTTAGATGTTGGGGTCCAAGATTTGTCTAGATAAGATGTTCCACGGCCTTCTTTCTTCTTTCCAGTTTCTGAGGGGAAAAGCGCATAGTTAATCATACAGACTTTTTAAAAACATATCTGTACAAGTATCAATGATAATGAATTATGTGACCTTAGTTTTGTAGAAATACCCATTGACACAAAATATCATAAATTTCAAAGGATATTTAATTCCTCTACAACCCTGATACACATGATGAAAGAAGACTGTAAATTAACAAATATCTTTGAAATGTAGGCAAATTAATTTAAAAATAAATCCCAAAAGATCACTTTTTCATATAGGTTTTTAGTAAATTAGACTTACTGAATGCTTTCTTTTGCTTTGTTTTGACTGCTGTCTGTGAAGATCAGTCTTTCCATTCTCCCGTCTCCGTTTCTCATGTTTGTCATTAGTAATGACATTGGTGAATGCCTCTAAAATATATAAAAACTCAAATATAACAAACTGAACACAAAAAAAGAAACAAAATAAAAACACCACAATCTTAGGGGACTCTCTATGTTGTCACAACATGCCATACTTCCAGTTGAAGCCCTGTTTTGGTCTGAAATCGTGATATTCAAAATTTTTGATGATCACGACATCACTATTTACCTGCTTTATAATTAATTAAATTGAAATAAAACACACAAACAATCAATCAATCAATTTATTTAGTATTACTTTGAATTATTAAATATTAATTTAATCTCTATATTATGTGTTCAGCTAATTAATAGACAAGTATGTGAATAAACAGTTCTTAAAACTCTTTATTGAATTAATGATTGTCTGCGTGTTTTTATTCCAATTTAATTAATTATATAGTAAGTTAGGTAACAAGAGGCCCATGGGCCACATCGCTCACCTGAGTAACTTGGGTGATGCAGATCTTTTTAAAAGATTTGTTCTATATATATTTCTATGTAAAACTTGGATTCCCCATTGTGGCCCCGCCCTACGCCCGAGGGTCATGATTTTAACAATTTAATATCTACACTACCCAATGATGCTTCCACATAAGTTTCAGCTTTCCTGGCCAAGTGGTTCTTGAGTAGAAGATTTTTAAAGATTTGTTCTATATATTTCTATGTAAAATTTAGATTCCCTATTGTGGCCCCGCCCTCCCCCCGGGGGTCATGATTTTAACAATTTGATATCTACACTACCTAAGGATGCTCCCACATAAGTTTCAGCTTTCCTGGCCCAGAGGTTCTTGAGAAGAAGTTTTTTAAAGATTTATTCTATATATTTCTAGGTTAAACTTGGATTCCCTATTGTGGCCCCGCCCTACCCCCGGGGGTCATGATTTTAACAATTTAATATCTACACTACCCAAGGATACTTCCACATAAGTTTCAGCTTTTCTGGCCCAGTGGTTCTTGAGAAGAAGATTTTTAAAGATTTGTTCTGTATATTTCTATGTAAAACTTGGATTCCCTAAGTGGCCCTGCCCTACCCCTGTGTATGATAAAAAATATACACTACCCCATTTCCCACAAATTTCAGCTTTTCTGGCCCAGTGGTTCTTGAGAAGAAGATTTTTTAAACCCCACCCTATACGTATTTTCTTGATTATCTACCCTTGGAAGGGGTCTTGGCCCTTGATTTTAACAATTTTTCCCCTTCACCTAAGGATGCTTTGTACCAAGTTAGGTTAAAATTGGCCCAGTGGTTCTTGAGAAGAAGTTGAAAATGTGAAAAGTTTACAGACGGACGGACGGACATTAGACAATTTTAAAAGTTCTGCCAAAGGCTTATTTGAAAATATATTTCAAAGAAAATTTTTATTTTTAAAGGAATAGAGTAGGACTTTGGTACTGTTTATCAAGAATTCCATATTTCAATATTTCAGAAAATGACAGAAAAGCTCACTTGAGCTTTCAGCTTGTTTCTACACGGTTTATGCCCAGTAAAATTTAAGATTTTAAGTTTCATGATACGACTGGATTTTCGGTCGTTTATATCTTAAACATTTTCCTATATAAAACTGTAGTATATTAATGCAGTTTTCAATAAATATATTTTGATTAACAACACTCTCACCGTTTACAAATAAAATGTTTAAAAGTCTTGCCCCTCTTGCCTTCAAATTCGGCCTCAGGCTTTTGACTCCAAAAAAAAGGTTTATAAGCTACACAGACATGTAATCTTAAAGACTTATTTGAAAATAATTTACATGAATTAAAATTTGCGAATATGTGGAGGTACGGTGGGGTTACAACTGCGCCCGCAACATTTTGGATTTTACTGTTTATGGGGCACATAGTCATTAAATAAGTTTTATACTATTTCATAGTTCATACAAGTCTTTTTATTCAAAATATTTATTGGCTGATACTGATGCAATAGCTTACCAGCAGAATATGATATTGCTCGGCTCATTGTTTACCTGCACCACAGTTATGTAGAATGTGGCGTCTGTTATAATTAATATATTATGCAGATATAAGAAGCATGTTTGTTTTTTTTTTTGATAATTTTTTTGCTAATTTTTATTGACAGCCATGTCTTTTCAGTCATAAAAATTATAAAGTGACGTCACAATATGTGTATATTTTTCTTCTTTTCAATGATATATTAACTTTGAAACTGATTTTTTGTATAACAATACAATTATAGCTAGCGCAGCGAGCTCTAACAACAAAGACAGGGCGAAGAGAAAATTTGGACTACTGCACATTCATTCCATAGAATTTTTTTTCAACAGTAATTCTGACCCACAATGCATCGCTTCATAAACAAATGCTAAAGCAACGTTCTCGTGAGAATAACAACAAAAGTTAAATGAATGATAAACTTGTCTTGATTTAATTAATTTATCTGTTTATTGCAGAAAAATAGTCATAAACTGATTGAAATTAGCCCTGTTCAGGCTTCGTTTTGGTATAGCAACATACAAACGACACACCGAATGTCATGTGCGGTTTGGCAAGTCCGATCTAAATGAAAACTGGACAAGTATCTGCACTCGCCCTAAAGGTCATACCGTCAACATATTAGTCAAAATGTGGGTTATATAAGGACCCATGTCAAGAGATATTGAGCTCAGGGGAAAAAAATGAACATGACCTCTCACATATGGTTTTTATTTTCTTTCACTGCGGGTCATTATCACTTGACATAGGTCCTTATAACTTCATGTTGGCCTACACAGGTCAATAATTGTGAAATAACTGATAATTCAAGCTGATGATTCATTTGCATTACTTGATATACGATCAATATTAATTCACTATGTAGGCTTTTCTTTTTTAACATCTTCATCTCAGCAGGTCAGACATTAGAAAATTTTTCTTTTGAACAGTAAAGTATTTCAATATACAAACTTATTCTCTTCAGATAAGTGGACGGGATTTCGCCTACATCCACTTTTTAAATGTATGTTTTCCTCCATATCATTCTCGTGCATATGATTAACATGATTAAGGGTTATGCTAAGCTACAATCTATTTCAACCGTTCTGATGATGTTAACCTTTATGAATAATCGGATAGTTGCGGTTGAAGACACTTTTCGTAAAATATTGATGCTTTTTCATAATTTTGAAACAAAAATAGCTCGTCTATACCTTGTCATAAGTCATAAGTTCCAAAAAATCAAAAGAGTTGGCTATCCGAGAACACATGAATTCAAACCGGATGTACTTCAGTCTGTATTTAACTACGAAACCGTGCTCGGTACAAATATTATCATCCGAATAAATAGAGGGGGTAAAAATTAACCAGAAGTCTCTGTCAAGACTGTAGCTCTACTGGTTTGTACTTAAAACAAAGGATGAGAAAAGAAGCCATTGCCATCAGACTAAAACTGTAGAAGGAGTAGCATTTTAAAGGAATTTCACAGGCATTTCTATTTTTAGTAACAATGGCAACACTGTTCATCAAAATCAAAATTCAATGCACTATTTCATGTATCTTAGTGTAGTCTACTTGTGTGCCAAGTTATATTGAAATCAGACTAAAATTGAAGGAGGAGTAGCATTTTAAAGGAATTTAACAGAAAGTCTTTTTTTAGTAACCATGGCAAAACTGATTATCGAAATCAAAAACCGATGCACTATTCCATTTATCTTAGTGTAGTCTACTTGTGTGCAAGTTATACTGAAATCAGACCAAAACTGTAGAAGGAGTAGGTTTTAAAGAAATTTCACAGAAAATTCTATTTTTAGTAACCATGGCAACACCGTTCATCGAAATCAAAATCCGATGCACTATTTTATTTACCTTAGTGTAGTCTACTTGTGTGCCAAGTAATATTGAAATCAGAATAAAACTGTAGAAGGAGTAGCATTTTAAGGAAATTTCACAGAAAATTCTATTTTTAGTAACCATGGCAACAACAGTCATCGAAAACAAAATCCGATCAGGGACCTATATACTAAAGGGATAGGCAACTCCTTCATCGCCATGTTTTTATACCCAAAACATCACGCAAGACACTACAAATTTTTCAATTAACATTTATTCCCAGTAAACAGGGTGTTTTCTGATTATTATCATTTATTCCTTTTATGTATTGGAATTGATTTATTAATAAATTTTAAATGATAATAATAATATAATTTAAATATAAGGAAAACAAAGACCGAAATCCGCGATTTCTCGGAAATATGGCCGATCGGGGCATGTGCTGATTTTGCATAAAACAAAATTACTACTAAGATAAGGAGTATAATACGTGATTAAAACAAATTTTGAATGATTTTTTGACAGATAATTAAAGGATTTGATCTCAAATATGCGATAGCGTTAGAAATATAGTTAATTAAAGTTGACTTACGAAATCTCGCGACTTACGAGATATCGCGAGATTTGCGGTAGTTGCCTATCCCGTTAGTATATAGGTCCCTGATCCGATGCATTATTTTATGTATCTTAGTGCAGTCTACTTGTGTGCCAAGTTATATTGAAATCAGACCAAAACTGTAGGAGGAGTAGCATTTTAAAAGAATTTCACAGAAAATTCTATTTTTAGTAACTATAGCAACACCATTCATTGAAATCAAAATCCGATGCACTATTCTATGTATCTTAGTGTAGTCTACTTGTGTGCAAAGTAATATTGAAATTAGACCAAAAGTGTAGAAGGAGTAGCGTTTTAAAGAAATTTCACAGAAAATTCTATTTTTAGTAACCATGGCAACACCGTTCATCGAAATCAAAAACCAATGCACTATTTTATGTATCTTAGTGTAGTCTACCTGTGTGCAAGGTAATATTGAAATCAGACCAAAACTGTAGGAGGAGTAGCGTTTTAAAAGAATTTCACAGAAAATTCTATTTTTAGTAACTATAGCAACACCATTCATTGAAATCAAAATCCGATGCACTTTTCTTTGTATCTTAGTGTAGTCTAATTGTGTGCCAAGTAATATTGAAATCAGACCAAAACTGTAGAAGGAGTAGCGTTTTAAAGGAATTTCTAAGAAAATTCTGTTTTTAGTAACCATGGCAACACCGTTCATTAAAATCAAAATCCGATGCACTAGTTTATGTATCTTAGTGTAGTCTACTTGTGTGCCAAGTTATATTAAAATCAGACCAAAACTGTAGGAGGAGTAGCGTTTTGAAAAATTGTTTACAGACAGACAGACAGACAGACGGACGGACGACGGACACCTTACTATCGCATAAGCTCTTCTGGTCTCTGACCAGTAGAGCTAAAAAATAAACAAGAAATTCCGCTTTGAAAGATCATTTGTACAAACAGAGAGAGAACTATTATATTGAGCATTCATTTTATTAAAAGGCGAAACGTCGCCGTTTTACAACGTACAGCATGGAACACATACATGTACGGTGCTTTGAGGCCTACAATACATTGCCTATTTATTGCATGGAAGTAAATTAAGTATGTCATATCACTCAAATTTCCCTTTCATTTCTTGCAATATATGTACTAAAGTCTAAGAAATTTAGATATCCAACTTTTCAAAATGGCGTCAGAACAAAAGTTGTCTCCGATAGTGAAGATTTGTTGTTGCCAAATATTACAATTATTTACCGTAAAAAATTAACAAAAATATACGTACACCAATCCTTGGTTGTTGTTCATTGCATTTATCACAGTCTCAAAGACACTGGGTGGTGAAAACGTCATTAACTTTTCACATTTACCAGCTGCTTACACCTTCTTCTTCGTCCTTCTCAATCCTCGAAAAATAGCGCCTCGGTAAATTGACCAATGAAATAAAGCGCCTGCAGAGCGATGCAGGATGGGAAAAAAAACTGTTTGTACGTTCATTATGATTAAGTATGATTATGACATCTTATATTAGAATTTAATGAAGTTTTTCCCTGTTCATGGAATAAAACGGGGGCTCCTAAATATTTTTGCCGATACGATGTGTAGGCCTAGAATATTTAGAAAGTGTTCTTTAAAAAAATATGCATGTGCCACTTAGAGAAAAAAAATGTTTCTGGCGTAACATCTCAAATTATTTGATTTTGGGATGGGGGTTTCGGGGCTTGGTTGTAGGTAGTGGCCGTCCTAGCTGAAAGTATATCCCCCCCCCCACTCCCCGCTACTTTTAACTGTTGTAATTATGAATTTATAATGTCACATCAAAACGATGTATATTTTTTAAATTGTGAGCATAACATTATGTTCACCGTTATCACAAGATTAAATACCATAAGGAATTTGAAATGTTTCAAACGGTACTTATATAGCAAATGATTTCAAAATAATTTATTAGATTGTTAACATTACGATAGTCACAAAAGCAAAAGAAAAGACCGATAGAAGAGAGGATCTTAATTCTTCTTCTTCCTCCAATAATGTGCCTGGCGCCAAAGTTGGACATTATTGCACATGTTTAAAAGATTTAAATCATGCTGAGGAAAACCTCGTTAAAATCTGTTTTTAAAATGATAAAAAAGGCCTTCAGTTTTTAAAATTACTACTCATCCTGGAAGGAGTGCAGAGCGGAATGGTTGTAGAAACTTCAAAGTACGTCCTCTAGTGTTATAGCTGTTTACAGGATGTAAATGACTAGATGGTTTGTCAATGTAGTCATTTACGCTTTGAAGGCCTCGAGAGAATCAGCTGACACTATGGTCTCACTAGGGTCTTATAGCTGGTTGACTTGATGGACCGTGGGAATCCAGAAAGGTTACGACTCAGGAAAGCAGTGGTGTTGTTGGCTTTTCTTGTGATGTTGTTAATATGTGGTCCCTAATTGAGCTTGTTATCGATGGTAACGCCCAGATACTTTGCTTTGGTGATGAACTGCAAATTTTGGCCATGGATGGAATAATTGGTCTTAATTTTACGCCGTTTGTTGGTGATGCGTATAACTTCACATTTCTCTGGGTTGAAGCTCATCAGCCACTCAGACTCCCATACTTGTACCTAGAGAGTGATTGTGTCCTCCTCATTAGCTGTCTTACGGTACAGCAGACAATCATCAGCAAAGAGCCTTGTTGTTGATTTGACTCGGGATAGTAGGTCAGAAAAACAGAAACAGCAGTGTGCCAATCACTGTGCCCTGGGGTACTCCAGATGTTACAGGAGCAGCTGATGACATCTCTCCATCAACAACTACTTGTTGGCTTCTGTCAGCAAGGAAATTGCTGATCCATTCCAGGGTCTGTCCTTTTACACCATAGTGCTCCAGTTTGAAGGCTAATCGATGGTGGGGGACTTATTTGTCATAGGCTTTGCTGAAGTCGAGTAAGACTGCATCTATACCTGTTGGCGTTTGTCGAGGCTACTTGCTAGGACATGGATAGTTGTTATCAGCTGACTTTCACATTATCGTCTCTTCCTAAAACCATGCTGCTGGTCTGAGAGGATGTTATTTCTCTCAAGGTGATTAATGACATGGCTGTGGACTATATGCTCCAAGGTCTTGCAGCATACAGATGTGAGAGACACTGGACGGTACTTACATGTAGATGCTTTGAATTTGTCTTCTTTGAATTTCTTTGGAGGGACATATGCTGTCTTCCAATTTGTCCACTAGCCTTGTTTGGGTTAAGGATAGTTTGAGGACACCTTTCTCTGTGACTTTGATGTTATTTACCCCTTGGTAAGTTGATTGGCCAAAGTCCGGTAGGTTACTAAGTGACTCTCTGGATGGAAGACAGATGAGAACTGCTGATTCAAGATCTCTGCCTTATCTTTTGGACTAATTATAAAGTGAAGCAAACCCTCGTTCCGCAAGGGGGAGACCCCTGAACTGTCACAGCACTTACTCTTGATGTAAGAGTATAGATTCTTGTTTGAATGGCCCTTCTCTCCTAACATACTGTTAATATATTTGTGGTATGACTTTTACACTCTTTCCTGTTGGTACTCTGGGCCTCACGATATTTTCTCCAATCATTCTAGGTGTTTGTTATGCGGACCCTCCTATGTGCACGACGTTACCTTCTACGGAGTCTCCGGATGTTTTTATCACACCATGGTTAAGCCCCTTATTGAAACGACTTGAAGTGATTTTTGATGGTACATGTGTATTAATGGAATGAGTGAAAATGTTCATTTTACTTCACATCTACTGGTGCATTGTTGATAGCATGTTGCTGAAATTTAGCAAGGTTCTTTGTCAAATCAAAACTAATAGCATCAGTGCGTTGAGTTGATGTCAATTAATACTTTTTCGTGATCACTAAGTCCTGGAATTGGTCTTACTTTATTAAGAAAGGATGGTCTATTTGTTGCAAGGTTGTCAAGAATGTTGTTACCACGTTGTTGGGAAGTCGATGACGTGCAGACATCCAAGATCCCTAAATGTGTCTATAAACTGTTGACTGATGGTAGTTGGATAGTCATATTCCTCAACAGATTCACATGCCCAGTTGATATCGGGAAGATCTGCGTCCCCACCAATCCATAGTGTGTGATCCAGATGTCTGCGATGCAACTCTTTTAGGGTGCGTTACATTTGTTTGTGTAGTCCACATCATTGTTTGTGGGTCTTAAAAGATTATAAATAATTATGCACAATTTCGTGTGTAAGCCATCTCACAAACACATACGCTAACGCACTTGATTAAGAGCTATGTTTGAATCGCGTATATGCGTTCTTAGTTTTAAACTGTCATGAAATGCCATGCATGAGAAGTGGAGAGGAATCTGAACAGAGTTCGGTTTTATTATTGTCTATGAGACGGAAGTCTTAACAACAAAATGTCATCGTGCATCCTGTTCACTTTTTAATATCTTTTAAAAGCTCTATCTTTTACTCCGTGACTACATGTAGGTCTAATATGCGACCCTTTCAAATCTCTGTGCAGCTGAAAGCAGGTCTAATGTGTATGATTCTTAAACATAAAAACTAAAGCGAATTTAAATATTTAGACATGGAAACCATCCAGGAAAAATAGCTAATTTGCTGAAACCTAGCTCATACAGTCCTTTAATTTATATAAGTTATGAAGAAAATCACTTTTCATGCCAATTAATATGAAGATTAACAGACTCAGAGAATGCGTATAAGTAAGCTGAATTCTTATGCCGAAAGAAATCTTTGAGATGTCCACGTTTTATATCGTGAAGAGACTCACATTGCAATTCAAAGTCTTGTATGGGTGTTATCGCTCTTTAAGGTACTTCAAGTTTAGGGCATTGATAAGCTTCCGTTTCCTTGTTTGAACGACAAAAAGGTCCAGTTGAACTTGCTATTGGGAAAGCTTTCAACTTCATGTAGAAACTTGACTAATCCCAAATTCACCGTGCCATAGCGTTACTATGATGCAATTATTCCGTAACGTATGATGAAACGATTCCTTATGGAATTTTTACATGGAGATTTGACCAAGGTAAGTTAATGTCGTATTTGTATGCCTTAAACGCAAAAAAGCCCTAATTGTGTTAGCCGTTGCATTATAGGAATGACACAGGCATCTGTTGACATAACGGACAATGTTCAATGATGCGCCGTTTTCTTAAACACTTTGCACTTTCATAATAAAGAGACTTAAAAGTTCGATTTATTCATAGAACTTTTTTTCCAATCAAGTTACAAGATCAGCTACAAGTTTACCATAATGAAAATTCGTTGTTTTTCCATTTCACTCTAAAATTATGATGAAAATATTTATTTAATCGCTTTAAACATGAGTTTTTAGAAGTAACGTATGATGCAACGATTCCCATCATCAGTAACGTGTGATGCAACTATTCTTTAACAATCGTATTATTAGACCAATATGTTGGATTTCTTTACTAGGACACGTTTCAAAGTAGGGTAATAAAATTACTCATTGCTTTCTTTTTATTACAGAATACGAAATGGTTAAGAAACAAACAAAACTTGACTATAGAACGGCTAAAAGAAATCAAAGTATTGAAAATACTGAAAGCTGGGCTTTAATTGCTCGAGTATATTGTCTGATCCGAAATTAGTACAAATTTAATTTTTTTCCCTTTTTACCATTGATTTTTAACAGGTAGAGTTTGTATGATTATGATTTAAATCAATATCTCATATACCAGTAATCAAAATTAGAAGTCGAGACCTCAATGTTTGATTTTAAAATTTTATTTCCAAGGTATTCTCGCATATTTTCTATTCAATGCGCATTTTTTCTCATAATTTAAAAATTCAGTCTTGGATAAGTTAAAATATTGCACATGTGTATTTTCTAGACATTCTTTTGGTTTCATAAAAACTAATTTTATCGCCAACTACATGTAGAAACACTGATATATGTATATTGTCATGCGACTCCACGCATGTTAATTCTAAAAATTCCAATTCACTATACTATTAATTTGCTAAAAATCAAAACAGAATATAGCCACTAACATAACATCGACGAAAACGACATGAAACGAAACTCTCAACATTTCGAGAATCCCGCGCTATTGAAAATAATTCGCTTACAATATGCATTCAGCAGCGTATATGCACAAATTATTATATCACGATTATCCCAATAAAGCAAATATCTAATTTCTCTTTCAGTTTAATTATCAAGCAAATATATTGATCATTAACTTTTCCAATGATTGGGATGTTAAAAATTGCATTGGAACTATTTTGTTTATCGGAAGCGTCTGCTTTGGCGCTGTTTGGTTTTTTGTTTAATGTGCTATTTATAGTAAGACAGTCGATCATGATGCCTATAGCCAGGACTTTGCTTTCAGCAAAGCCCGGCTACAAATTACAGCAAGAATAAAGCCATTTCATCCCCTTAACCAAACCCGAAAAGAAGAAAATTTTCTATCCCATTTAAATCCAAAAATCGACTTGTTGATACCCCAAACAGAAACACTGCAAAAAGTCCCCAGTGTGCATTATTAGATAATGATTGGACATTGAGTAAAGCCTGTGGTCATAAAGAAATCCAACATATTGGTCTAATAATACGATTGTTAAAGAATAGTTGCATCGCACGTTACTGATGATGGGAATCGTTGCATCATACGTTACTTCTAAAAACCCATGTTTAAAGCGATTAAATAAATATTTTCATCATAATTCTTGAGTGAAATGGAAAAACAACGAATTTTCATTATGGTAAACTTGTAGCTGATCTTGTAACTTGATTGGAAAAAAAAGTTCTATGAATAAATCGAACTTTTAAGCCTCTTTATTATGAAAGAGCAAAGTGTTTAAGAAAACGGCGCATCAATGGACATTGTCCGTTATGTCAACAGATACCTGTGTCATTCCTATAATGCAACGGCTAACACAATTAGGGCTATTTTGCGTTTAAGGCATACAAATACGACATTAACTTACCTTGGTCAAATCTCCATGTAAAAACTCCATAAGGAATCGTTTCATCATACGTTACGGAATAATTGCATCATAGTAACGCTATGGCACGGTGAAATTGTTTAATTCGAATTTTTTGTTTAATGTGATGTCAACTTTCAGTCCCTTTCATTCAATTTTTAATATCTTGTTGAATCCAGAATCTTAACTTACCAAATCCTGCCGTCGCTCGCGTGGCGCAGTGATTAAAGCGTCTGCTCTAATCGCGAAGTAAGGGGTTGATCTAAACATTGCAAGTTCAAATCCCACTTGGGACGTGGAAACCGGTCCTTCGAATAAGACCATATGAACCGAGGTCACGTGTCGCAGTATGTGCTAGCACGAATAAGATCCCTCCCTGCTCATTGCCCAGAGCGCCGAGTATAAGACCACTCTCCAGTGATGATGTCTTAATACGAGTAGAAAATTCTCGAGAGGGACGTTAAACATTATGTGCAATCAATCAATTTAATCCTGCCAAATTCTTTGGAACTGATGGTGTCTGAATAAAACAAGTTTACCTATATTTATTAACATTTAAAGCATCCTTAAGGTCGCCCACGTGGCGCAGTGATTAGGCGTCTGCTCTAAAGTCGCGAAGTAAGGCGTCAATCCTTAGGTCGCGGGGTCAAATCCCTCAGTACTGTGGGACGTGTAGATTGGTCCATCGGATGAAGCTGTAAAAACCAAGGTCGCTGGCACGAAAAAGATCCCTCACTGCTCAAAAGTCGTAAGTGCCGAATATAGGACAAAATTGGTTGCGTATCCATAGTAGTTCATTAAATAAACAAAATATACACATTTTAAAATTTCTTTTACGTAACAATATTTATTATTACACCTTGATTGTATTCATTGGCGGATCCAGAGGGGGGTTCCGGGGGTTGGAACCCCCCTTTATTTTTTTGCCAAGTGGGGAGAGAGAGAGAAAGAAAGAGAGACTGGGATAAAACGTTTTCCGAGATTAAATATTTGTACGTCTAACTTATGTATTGAATAGATAGAGTCTCACACATTTAGTTTCCTCCACTCACCTTCACTTTTACTTTTTTATGAGAGAATGGTAGAAAATATTCTACTTATTTTATATACCAGATATGATATGTAACATGCGAGGTTTAATTTGATATTAGATTCCCGCGATCTGAGGCTGTGTTGGCTAAATAATATATGTACCGTTTTTGATCATATATCTTTTGAAGGAACTAATTTGTAACTCTTTGTTTACACCCCATCCACATCCCACCCAAATTTTTTTTTTCAAATTCTAGAAGAAAATTCTTTATACTCTTCAGAAATGCTGCAAATCCATTTAATTTAAGGCTTCAGTAGTTTTTGAAATGTGTTAGTTTTTTTTTTTAATTCGCACTGGGGGTACAGTACCTTTTCGAAGAAAAAAAAAGACGTAAAACAAAGTTATAATTTTCTTTCCATACATGTGTGTGAATCTTTGCTTGAGAGTGTGTAAGGGGGGGGGGGGGGGGTTAAAGGGGCACAACCCTGGAACCCCCCTTTCAAAAATTGCTGGATCCGTCCCTGGTATTGTTTATTGTTTATCGTCCCACTCGAGAATTTTTCAATCATATGGAGACGTCAATTTGCCGTTAAGGGCTTAAAATTTAGACTTGTACACAGCACTCAGGGCCATTGAGCAGTGATGGTTCTTTAACATGCTAACGCCTACCGTGACAAGGGACCTATGTTTTTAAGGTCATATCCGAAAGACCCGTGACTTTCACGTTTAGTGCGGAGCGGTTGGCAAAGAAACAGTCACTACCTATGTTTACGTCTTAGGTTTTACGACGCGCCGCGAACGAGAATCGAACCCGGGCTTCCCGATCACGAAGCGAACGTTATACCACTATGCTACCTTGACCGTTCATTACACCTGTGAAAGCATTCTACCAAATGACTCTGTTCTATTGGGTATGAATCAAAATTAAAACAGTTTTTAGATCACTATGGTCCCTAACGTTCGATCCTTACGTTCGAATCCCACCGTGGGACGTGGAGACCGGTCCTTTGGAGACTATACGAGGGGCGATCAAAAAGTTCGCGAACTAATTCTCTGTCTAACTAACCACAGTGTGACAAGAATGAATTTTGGCACAAATATAGTCCTAAACACGTGCTTTATGCCGTATGAGTATGCAATTTGCCTCAATTATGACGTCATGATGTAAAAATGACGTCAATATAGAGACGACTTTGACGAAAATGGATGAGTCAATCGTGCTTGAGCAAAGAACTATAATAATAAAGTTTTATGTAAAACTAGGTTAATCCTTCACGGTAATATACGATGATTTACATAAAGTTTACGGGGATAGTGGGCTTGCAAAAAGTACAAAAGTAAGTAGATGAAACGTTTTATTGAGGGAAGGGAAACGGTGAAAGATGATGATAGATCTGGGTGCCCGCTGAACGTTAGTACTGAGATAAACGTGTCTGAGGTTGAACAGTATGTGATGAAAGATCAAAAAGTTACGATTAGGGAAATAGCTGATGGTCTTAGCATGTCTTATGGAACAGTTCAAGAGATTTTAACGAGTAAGCTTATAATGCGGCGAGTTTGTGCTAGCTGGGTCCCTCGCCTCCTTCTGCCAGAGCAAATGAGGGTAAGAGTGAATGCATGACGGTCTTACGTTAGTAGATATGAAAAAGAAGAAAATTATTTCATGAATAGAATCATTACATGTGATGAAACTTGGGTACATTTCTATGAACCAGAAAGTAAACAACAAAGTTCAATTTGGAAGCATCCTTCCTCGCCATCACCATTGAAAGCACGCGTAACCAAGTCAGCAGGAAAAGTTATGCTCATTGTTTTCTGTGAGATCAACGGGATAATTCTAAATCACATGGTACCACCCAAAACTTCAGTTACTGGGGACTACTATGCACGGGCTATCAAATCAGATTTAATGACAGCAGTGAAGAAAAAGTGCCCAGATCTGATACGATCTGGATTCATTCTGCACCAGGATAACGCACCTAGCCATTAAAGTCGGGTTGTGATGGACACCATGGAAACACTGTGTATAGAAAACCTAACCCATCCCCCCTATAGCCCAGATTTGGCAATTTGTGACTTCTGGGGCTCGTTTCTCAAAAAGGCCTACGACCAGGCGTAAGCTTAGTCCGGACTAAATCAGTGACTAAACCCGGAAGTCGGACTGAGTAGCGTTTCACAAAAAGGCGGAGACTTAGTCGAGACTAAATTATGGTTTAAATCTAGGCCTGCTCGTGAGTAGGCGTAAGTTCTTAGTCTGTAAACAACTTGGAAAAAGGGCATGTGTTTTAATCATAAAGAGTTAAAAGAATGATTATTTTATGCGTATACGATATAATACCTATTCATATACATGTACATAATTATATGATATGCCAAAAATCGTGAAAATTATACTGTATTATGTAGAAAATTAGAAAGGTAGTTAAATCCATCGAAGATGCAGACTTTTTCTGAAAGGATGGGGTGAACTAGAAATTTGTAACTAAGAATTTTAAATACAAGTTGGGTAAGATTTCCTAAAGAAGTGCCAGAATTTTTTTTTAAATGCAGGCACGCGTAGGGGGTGGGGTGCAACCCTACCGTTTTTAATGCAGTAATGTGTTTTCTGTTTCAATAAAGCTGTATAATTTATGGACTGACTTCCACTTCCATCATTTCTCTTCTCGGCTGAATATTTTGATCACTCAATTATCTGTACTTACCACCCCCACCCCCATCCCCTTCCCCATTACCTTTTTAAAAACGATGCGACATGCTGTAGGTCCTGGATAATTTTTTGTTGTTTGAAATGGATAATGTTTCAATAGAATCCTCAAACAATATTCATTTTTATACTAGTATATTAGATAATGAGAAATATTCGGTAACTATGCCATCAAATATTGATGTACTTTAAATTAAGTTAATGTATCTTTAATTCTCCCCTTCAACTGTATGTACACGTAATTAATTAAACATTTTAAGAACATAAAAAATTGAATTTGTAAAATGTTCCAGTATTATAATTAAAGTATTCTGTCCATAAGACTGTCCATTCCTATTTCACTGGAGTCACTGTCGGGAGGTGAGATGTGTAGATGGGTCTATTATTTTTTCGTAAAGGTGCTTTTGATTAATTGACAATCTATCATGTTTCTCGGACGAATTTTGCCTAAAAGGGTTTTTTTGTTTGATAGATTTTTTAAGAGAAAAATAATTTATATTATATTTGAAACAAAACTATTTGTATAATAATGATAATTATCAAATTTTGTAAAAATAAATGTTTTTATTGTTAATGTAAATCGCGACTTGTTAATATCTTTAAGTCTAGATTACATTTTCAATATACATTCTTCATCAATAAAAAAAATAAAGTATGAACATATCCTCAATAAAAAATGAAAAGGAATGGATATATTTAAGGAAAAGATGGTGATGTTAAAATTAGTACCTTTCCCGATCTAAATAAAATTGAAATGGAAAATTGAAATGGAGAAATTTACAAAAAATTCTAGATTTCTTGTCGGTAATATGGTTCACAAGAATTATAGATTTAAAACTAATTTAGCTTTTGCAAGCCATCATTGATACTGCAAGTGCTATATATACGTATTTTTACATGGACCATGTAAATTATTATATCGATATCAATGTAATACTATGTGTCCAAAATACAATACTAGTATTATAAATATACACTGTAGGTATACATGTATCAGGTGAAATGCCAGTATGTTTAATTCGTATTGAATAAATGGATTGATATTATAAATTTAAGACAACTGATAATTTTTTGCAAAATGCTCTTATCCATGTTTTAATCACTATCATAATAATATGATTTCAAAATTGTTAAATTTTTCATAGTATGCCTATATGGGTCGGGGACTTCGGTCCTTCACTCTCTGTGCGTATTTAAAATTTTAACTAGAGAAAAACTTCCCTGAGATACTCTTTGCCCCCCCCCCCCCTCCTCACGACTATCAAATATATTGCTACGAGTCTGTTCCAGCCCCTTACCATATATGGCTTTTACTCATAAGAAAATTTCTTTTTATTCCAAATTTTCGCAAGTACGTATAATACCGGTATACAGGTTTATATTTTTCTAAAGTATGTATTTCACTTTTAAAATTTATCTGAACTTACCAAAATACATATAACTATTTAATATAAAATTTGTGTATGTAGAGGGGGACGGGGGTTGTGTCCAAAATAATAACAAAAGATTTGCTCAGTCATTTTTTGTGTGTGACTGTAGGCCCCTAACCCTACCCCTATCTGCCCCTTTTGTCAAGATTTCGGAATCCGCTACTACTGTCTAGTATGTAAATGCTCTGACCTTGAAAATACAGATGGATTTGCGCATGCATTATATCTGACTGAAAGACGATGAAAAGCCAGGGAAAACATGCAAGCTCGTTCGTGCTTTTTGTGCTTCACTTTTTGTAATCAGGTTCAATTGTGATCCGCCACATGTTATTGTAGTCTCTAAACCAAATAAAATACGGTCTGCGCATGCTTAGTACCTAGCGGAGAGTCTTAGTCTTAGGCCCAGTCTTACACCGCTTTCTGAAACGCGATTTAGACCCGTCTAATTTTTGGCGTAACTTTTTTAGTCAGACTAACTTAGGCCAAAATGTACGACTTTTTGAGAAACGAGCCCCTGGATATTTCCAGTTTTGCAAGATAACCTACGGGGAGAAAAATATGAGTTCAGGGAAGATCTTGGTACTGCAATGATCAAGGTGCTAAGAGTCATGTCACGTGATGGCTTAAATCATGTGTTTCGCGCATGGGCAGACCGATGGGAAAAATGCATAAAAGCTAGTGGGGCTTACTTTGAAAAAGAATAAACTCCAAATTTAACTCCAAATTTCACTTAGAAAAATATTTAAAAAGTTATTCAATTAGTTCGCGAACTTTTTGATCACCCCTCGTATAAATGAGGTCCCGTGTCGCAGTAGGTCTGGCACGATAAAGATCTTACATTGTAACATCCCTTTTGTCAGTAGTCTCTGCCTCTATCAAAGTGAATTAGCTCCAGAGTATAAAAGCATTTGGGAAGCACAAACGTCATATGCTGATGACTGTGGAATAAAACTACATAAATTTGTGAAAGTGAAAAATCATTATTCTGTTTTTCCTATAGATTAGTTGTAATTAGGTCTTTTCATTTAATCAATATTGTGGCATATGGTGCAGACTCAGTGATGTCTTATGTCGGCTTTCATGAGAAAATGTAAATGTATTATATTTCGCGTGTACGATAGTTGGCGGAAATTGAATTTTGAACAAGTTAGCGTTGTAATAGATGTCACAACCATGCAGCCACGCTGATTACTAATTTATTATCTCCCCAACCAGGAGAGTTCCACAACATAAAAAATTAGATAATTCGTACAAAAGACAATTCTATTACATCCTCTTTTGTTTAAATAAAAAATCTAATACACCATCTTATCAATTAGAATTGAATTTCACAGAACACACATTGCCTGAATTTTTCAAATTGCTTGACCTGAAACATTTTTAGTAATTTTGCTTATAAAACATATCAAATATTAAAAGAACACGTAATGAAACCAATAATACATGTGCCAATTGAGATTTCACATATGTTCATTAAACATCTCAGAAAGCCACAGTAGCATGTGCAACTTCATTAAACACAATTTAGGTAGTCAAATAATTTTCCAGATACTTCGGTTTCTTTATCTCTCGTCCCGATCTGGTTCTCTGGATCTGTTCACTGTCAACGGTCGGTTTACTTGGAGGTGAAGCAGATTGCTTCGGTACGACACATGTTTTTGTTATTTCAGTTTTCGGTCGTGCACACAATGGAATATTCACCGGTGGTATGTCACACTCTTGGGTTGAAATCACATGCGGCTCTTCCTTGGTCTTGAGAAGCATACTGTTGTTTCTACGGTAAAGTCGGCCACTTCCTGCCTTCACAACATAAGAACGAGGTTCACCTGACTTTCTGACGAACTCGGCCGGCTTCCATCCATCCGGACTATGAATACGAAGGGTGTCACTGGGCTGACATTCGGCACGCTCTTTTGCCCCATGATCATAATAAAACCTGCTTCTGACGATACGCCATCAGCTTTGATGAAACAGCTTCCGGTTTGATGGTCGTTGGTTTCCTCAGACTATCAATTATGGGGAGTAGCGTTTTTGCTCGTCGACCAATCAATCTCTGCATAGGTGATCCTATCTGCTCATCCCGAGGAGTGTTCCTTAAATCTAAAAGGGCTAGGTACACATCATCTCCTGATTCGCGGTATTTCTTTAGCAAGTTTGTGACGTAGTTTATATTGGGTTTCAGCCACCCCCATTTTTTTAGCTCTACTGGTCAGAGACCAGAAGAGCTTATGCGATAGTAATGCGTCCGGCGTCCGTCCGTCCGTCTGTCTGTCTGTCTGTCTGTCCGTCTGTCTGTAAACAATTTTTCAAAACGCTACTCCTCCTACAATTTTAGTCTGATTTCAATATTACTTCGCACACAAGTAGACTACACTAAGATACATAGAGTAGTGCATCGGTTTTTAATTTCGATGAACGGTGTTGCCATGGTTACTAAAAATAGAATTTTCTGTGAAATTCCTTTAAAACGCTACTCCTTCTACAGTTTTGGTCTGATTTCAAAATAACTTGGCACACAAGTAGACTACACTAAGATACAAAAAATAGTGCATTGGTTTTTAATTTAGATGAACGGTGTTGCCATGGTTACTAAAAATAGAATTTTCTGTTAAATTCCTTTAAAACGCTACTCCTTCTACAGTTTTGGTCTGATTTCAATATAACTTGGCACACAAGTAGACTACACTAAGATACATAGAATAGTGCATCGGTTTTTGATTTCGATGAACGGTGTTGCCATGGTTACTAAAAATAGAATTTTCTGTGAAATTCCTTAAAAATGCTACTCCTTCTACAGTTTTGGTCTGATTTCAATATAACTTGGCACACAAGTAGACTACACTAAGATACATAGAA